AGAATACTGCCCTTGTCACACCCAGATAGGCGTGTTAAAGCTCGCCTTTCACTCCCATCTGCCTTTATGATCGGCCGGCCGGTCATAGTATTCGAACTTCCAGGCCGTTAGCCCGCCACCAATACAACTCTTAACTGCTCCGCGAAATGCCTCCTCAAAGTCGTTGCCCAACCAGCCCACGCCCTTCAACGTCAAAGTGCGAATAGAAAAAGCGATAATCGCCCCAACAACGGCCCCCCGCCTCGGTAACCATCTCGCGGTTCTCCATAAGTGGATTAACCTCGTACTGGAAGTTTCCCCGCTTGTACCGGCCACCGAACTCGAGGTTGAGCGGGTTGTTAGGGTCGTTGCCGTCGCACGAGTTGATGATCAAATCCATGCTCTCGAGGCACTGGCCACGGTTGAATTCAAACGCACCATTGCTCAGCTGGATGACAAACTCGACCGCCTCCGGCGTGCCCGCGTTGTACCGCCTCGGAAACCGCCAATTGGCCTCGCCGCTTGGGGCAGAGACTGAATTGCAGAACTCGTGGTACAACCGGCCGGCCGTCTCCCACCGCACAAAAGCGTGGCGGTTGTCGTCGGCCCGTGCGCAGTGAAACTCATCCTGGTTGTAAGAGCATACGTTGTCGGATGACCCGCCGTCCTGGCGCGCCTTCGCCATAGCTAGGTTCTTCAACGCAAATGCCGCAATGGCCTCGTGGCCCTTTTGGTTGGGGTGGAAGATGCGGCCCATAGTTTCGGGCATACCCAACCCTAATGTAAATTCGAAGCCGCCGTCACCGGGGCACGGGGGTTCAGTGCATATAGTGCTGCCGCGTTGGGACTGGGCGAGCGGTAGAGGACGGAGGAATAGATGTCATCGTCATCAAGCGTGGTGATCTTAGTGCTGGTGTGGTTGAGGCCCAGGCCGAAGTCGATGTCATCGTCCTCATCCTCATCGTCCTCGTCACCGTCAGCGTCGCGACGTCGGAGCCAGGTATCCTTTCCGATAGTCATCCCTTTCGTTGTCCGTGGCTTGAAGAAGAGCAAGTCGGGTTGTGCCGGATCCGGATACTCGCCCGTGCTGCCACGTGCGCAGAACTGACCATTCACTGCCGACGGCCAAAGGTTCCAGTCGAAGAAGGCAATGTCATACGCCCGGTTGGAGCACCTCTGGTACTCTTGGACTACCTCTCAGATAGCCTTGTTGATGCTGTCGACCAGCTGGTTGAACCGCTGGCGGCGGGCGGCGGTCAGTGGGAGTAGGTTGCGGGCCAAGTTCCAAAATTCCCACGCCTGCCACTCAGGCTTGGTCCATTGCTCGTTTGTCGCGCAATCCTCACTGTCAGTTTCGAAGAAAGGGGCGTAGCTGTTGTAGACGACAATGCCATTCTTGTCGCTTCGCATCTTGGGCGCAAGGGCCTCGAGGATCTCACGCAAGTTGGGCTTGAGAATAGTATCGATATTTTCTTGGGCCTTGTTGATCACAGCCGCGCAGGCGCTCTCTCCTTGGTAAGGTAAGATGACGCAGCAGCGGATTATGGCGGCCAATCAGAGGTCATTGCCACCCGCCGTGAGCATCACCACGTCGAGGTTGCCCGCGAGGTCTTTGGCCTGCTGGTAGACGCCCTGCGAGCGGGCGCCGCTGCACGGGGGGAACTGGAAGTCCTTGGAGGCAGAACCAATGTACATGTTGACGAGGTAGGGCCATATGTGCGAGTAGCGGGAGCACTGCCAGTCGGATGAGAAGAAGCGGCCTTGTCGTTGTCCCGACCCGATTCCCGCTGTGAATGAGTCGCCTATGGTTGCCCAGCGTTGGACAAAGCCCAAGGAGACCGTGGAAGATTCCTCCCGACGTACGAGAGGAGATAATGCATCCGCGGGTGATGTGTTGCTGCTACCTCTAGTATTATTGTCGGGGATGGCATACGAAGCACATTGTGCTGTCCACAGCGCAGTCCAAAGAAACCAAGCTCTCAGAGCGGCCATTGAGTCTGCAAATGTCTAGGCAAAGAACGGGAGTCGACGGTAAAACGTGCAGAGACAAGGGAAGACAAGGGGAAAAGCCGAACACAGGAACAAACTATTGAGAAATATACAAAGCAAACAATTAGAAAGGAGAGGCAGTGGCGCCATCGCGGAGTACCTCAGGAAAGAGAGGCTAAAATTACGCTTGAGTTGCACATGGATCCATTTACCTTTATCGTCGACGTTTCTGTTAAACTCAAGCCAGATCTAAAATTATACCAACTGAAGGCGTGTCGTATCCTGTCTTTGCCTAGGTTGTCATTTACCCGAGGCTTACTTCACCTGTAGGTAGCAAAGCAGTCGCGCACATTTCTCTTGTGAGTTGTAATATTGATGATTGATCACCTTTCTAAAGGAAGAAGGTGACCTCTAACGAAAACCTCAGTTGACTTCCTGAGCGATAGCGTTAGAAATAACTCAACTCAACTTAACTTGGGGTCGGAGTTGAGTTGACCCACTCAATTTGAAGTTGTATTTGAGTTAAATTGAGTTGAATTATATCTACTTATTGAATTGCCAAAATAAATCTAACCATTTAAAACTCTAACCCCGATAAAAATCTCATCTTTCAAGGGCTATCCGTAAGCGAAAAGAATACTTTTTAAACGCCGAAAATAATCTGCCGCACTACCACGAAAGAGGGCAATTCAGTAAGTAACTTCGAGGTCCAAGTTGAATTAACATAAGTAAATTGGCAACCCAAATTGAATAGAGTTGTATTTATATTTACTTATACTTGCCAAGTTGAATTATCTCTAACGCTGTTGAGCGAACTATAAGGTACCTCTATATATACCTGACCCTGTATTTAACTGGTAAAGACCACACCTGAAAGCCAGAATGTACGTTAGCTGCTACATAAGACTATAAACTGCAGTGCGGAAAAGTTTACGACGTCCATATACCGCCAAATTAAACAATCAGCTGGTAGAGTTCAGAACGTTAGTAAGAACCCAGTGATATCTAGGCCCTAGATATTGGCGGATAAGCACGAGATTTCATTAAAAGCAAAGCTAGGTAGGTAAGAGCGTGATCAATTAAAGCTTTTTGGCAGGTTCGGGTTCATTAACTGAGTCAACACCATCATTAGCAACCCGATCCATCAAAAATGCTACCTCGAATATCCAACGATCTCATTGGCTTCTTTCCGCAGTTCCTCCATAACGACTACCCGTTCATATTTCCTTTGCTTAACTTCATTCCGCCTCTCCAGTCCGGCTGTACCAAACCCGGCAGGTAGAGGCAAAGTACTTTTCAAGAACGCAAATTTGTTCAGTTTCTTACTCTTTGCCCATATTCATTGCCCTTCTTACATTTGTCTTTAATACCGGCCTTTTATTTAGTGCTTCCTTTATTGCTTTTACGTAGTTTCCCGCCAGTCCAGCCTGCCACAATGCTCCCAAGACCAGCACCACCAGTACTAACGTCAGTTGTGGTGATCCTCCTCTCCTTCACCCTACCGATCACCGCCATCCAAGCCCTCGGCTTTAACACCGCCACCACTGACAGTGACGGCATCTACGTCCTGCCCCCTAAGGAACAACCCGATTACATCTGCTCAGCAACCAAGCCCTGCAAGCTGGGCTACTATGGACCGCTTGACCCGATCACCGGCACGGGCATCTGCGGCGGCGGGCCCGACTTCTGCGCCCCGGCCGTGTGCACGTTGCAGTGTAACTGGAAGTCCGAGTGCGACCCCGGTTGGGGCATCGAATGGTCTGAGGCCAGCACCTGCCCGCTCAACGTCCGCTGCAGCCGCTTCGGTTTCTGCGGGGACACGCAAGTGGCCAGCCCAGAGTGTCCCATCTCGCAGGGCACGTGGGACAAGCGCACCGTCGGCTACTACGAGGGCTGGAACCTCGACCGGCCATGCGGCACCATGGCGCCCGACGAGATCCCGTTGGGGTACTGCACGCATCTGAACTTCGCCTTCGCCATGGTCCACCCTCAGACCTTCCACGTGGTA